CGGCAAACGGCCTTCTCCCGCGCGTAAAAGTCTGGGGAGGAAGGCGGCGACGGTTGTGTTAACTCAGGCTGTGTCTTTAAAAGGGCTGCTCAGAAACTTTTTTCTTTTTGCGCGCAAGCGATCGGAGGAAAAGCCTCAGCTCGCCTCCACTTTCATTCAAGTCCCCTTTCCCAGCAATGGGATGGAGGGAAGGGGGTGGGGTGGAGAGAGAGAGAGACAGACGCGGGCGGTGCCTCACTTCGGAAGCTTTGGGGCCGACGCTCCCCCCTCCTCACTTCCCGCCTTAAGGCACCTCCGGAACAAGAAGTGGCTTCACCCGCATAGGAACCGGTCCCACGCAGGTTCGAGGAGAACGGTAGTCTCGCAGCGAGGCAACTCCCCCTTGACGAGGCGGGAGGGTGGGGTAGATGTGCGAAGGAGAGAACGAATCATACAGAACAGCGCCGCGGTTTTTAGACGGCTGGCTTTGAAACAGAGAAAAAGTTTTAGTACAGAAAGTTGAATGGAAAAAGTTGAAAGCTGCACACCCCCCCCCCCCCCAAACACACAATCCCACCCTGCCTTTTCTTTCTGAGCAGGTCACTAAGATGGACTTTGGCTCGCCCTCTGCGTTCTGCTGCTGGATGGAAGTTGGGAATCACAGAGTGGCTTGCAATGGGTGGGGCCTGATGTCAGCTCTGGGTAGAGGGAGCCTGCAGTATGACCCTGGGAGAAATAGGGATGGCAAAATGCCACCTACTGTCAACAAGCAGATACTGTTAAAAACAAACTCTACTATTGATTTGAATTTAAACTGACAGGAGCCACCTTTCTCCTAGGACAGCCACTTTAGACTGCAAGATGCTAGCTAGATAGCCACCCTCCTTGCTTTGTGTGGAACGCCTAAACGGATGAGAGGATATACTGCTTTTTGTGTGCACACAACTTCTTCCAGGTGCAAAAGTTCTCTGAACCAGTCTTTCCTAAACTGGGGTCTTCCTGGTACTTGTAACCACAGCTTTCATTATTGTCAGTTGGTACAATAATTGGCTACATATGTAGCTGGAAACCCTAAAAATCATACTTCCAATTTTTAAGTGTGAAGTAATGGATCTCAGTGGATTACTTGCAATCTGCATTTTAAAACAGATTATGATTCAGAATCAGTGGTTTAGCATAGCTGCTTGCTTATAGAGGTAAGAAACCACAACATCTACTTCTAGCTATTAGCACTTCAGCCTGCAAATGAGGCTTTCTCTTTGCTTAAAACAATTGCTCAAAAATATTTTCCTTTTGTGTAAGTGTTGTTCTTCAGTCTCTCTTCAGTCTTCTACGAAAGGATTCTGCTGTATACTGTATATAAATAAGGTTTCCTATTAACTTCCTTCCCATTTTCCATTAAAGGTAAACTCTTCTATAAATCCAACTCAAATCTTAATGACTTCATAAAAACATCCGTATAGTTTTCTTGGTAACAATAGTTTGCCATTGCCTTCTTCAGAGATGTTTTCTCAATTTCTGTTTAGGCTGCAGTCCTGAGATTTCTTCACCAGATCTGATTCACTGTTTTTTTGAGACCAGCCCTAGCTATAACAATGCAAAAGATTAACAAGGACACTTCTGCATGAGAGGGTTTCTGTTTTAGAATTAAATAAATGCCATAAAATAGATTCTGTACTATACCATCTATTTTTATGAGGCTATTTTGCATTATTATAATAAAATCATGTTTCTCAACCCACATTTGCTATGATAAAAATTAAGGAGGCAAAGAAGAATTTGCAACTTCTAAGGTTCTCCAATGCAACCTTTAAACAAGATTTTCGATTTCAGACTCCTTCAGGAGGAAAAGAAATATAAGAACTTTTTTGGCCATGTTTGCAGAGATGAATTAATCCTCAAAAATCCTCTCTTTCCCATTCTCCTGTCAAATTCTATCATTTGCATCTGCTTGTTGAAGGAAAATAGACCACCACATTTTTCTATATGAAAACTCTTGTTCTTTTTGTACTGAAAATGCAGGAAAGCCTTGCCATCTTTCCCCCTTCATATGCTGATGTATTGGCAGTGCACTTATATGACTGCAACAATTGATACAGAAGTAATAATTTAAAACTCCCATCCCAAATTGGATCAGAGAAATAAGTGTGGGCACACAGAAGAATCAAGTTCATGGTCATGAAGAGTGCCTATGATGGTACTCCAAAGTTGCAAGGAAATCCCTAATATTATGTATGTGAGATTCCCAATATTAATAGTAGCTGAGATGCCTTAAGCTCTCCTCCAGATGTCTTGCTTTTCAACAACATAAAAGTTTGGAATGACTAGAGAAGTGAGTCCTTCCATTTTAATCCCAAATTTGGGGAAAAGAATGGATCTGTCATTAGTGTAAGTGTATAGTTTAGCCCTGCTCACTGGTGTAAATTATAGTATGATTTGGTTTGTGTGGCTTCATGATAGAGGAAATCACTCATGCTAATCTTACTAAATGCAGCTTTTGTCAGCATTCATAGAAAAAGTCTTACTGAAAATCTTGGCTAAGTCCTTAAGATTGTTGATGGTGGTTGCCATAGATTCATATTATTGAGCTTACTCTTTTTCTAAAATTATCTCCAAGTCAAAAAGAGGAAAAAGAATGAAGCTAGAATGAGGGTTGCAGGCCCTTCCGCTTGCTCCAGGCACTGCATTTTGAACTCTTATAAGAAATAGAATCCACTTGAACAAATTCAAAAATATCATTGGAACAAACTAGAAATTGTCCTATTTTTGCTGTGTTCCGGGAATATTAAATTTAGAGATGTCTCAGAAGCAATAAATACTATTGGTATTTATCTTTGTTCAGCCTGGAAACTTAAATCTGCAGCTGTTTGTAATCTCAAGATGCAGAAAGGAGTTCCATGTCCTCCCTCCAATCTTCCATTGTTCTTTATACTTAATATTAAAGATTTTTAAACAGTTCAGTAGATAGACTGATTATGATTGTAATGTCATAATAGTGGCATATTTATAATAATAGTTAACGTTAGACTTTATAAACATAAAGCCATCTTCTTTTTTGAACACTCAACAAAGGAAAAGATTATGGTTTCTCCCCTGCTGTTAAGTTCCAGCCTCCTTAATCTGTTCAATAACTTTGTGAGTATAAATACATTTTAAAAACTTAATTTGTTAAATTGTATTAGGGAAATTATTTCAGGAACTCCTGTAAATTTGATGATACCAAAAGTTGTAAAAAGAATCTGACGTTGACTTGAAATAACTTCATTTACAGATTGAGCAATTACTTATCTTTTCATTATTTTAAACATTTGGAAGTAGCAGCTGTGCTAGTTTTTAGTATTTTCAGATTAGTTGGATTAAATTTATATCACAGACTGTTATACAGCTGAAGACTTCTGTTCAGTCTTCCATACTTCTTTGGTTGACCGTTTCTCTGTCTGATAGGTTTCAGAACTAATTTCTTTAAACCTATGTTTAAAGCATTTTTTTCAACTTTGTTGGTGAACTACATATTGAGGCATAAGCTTTGGAGAGGAATAAATTACATTTAACAGCCAAGAGTTGAATTAAAAGCTTCATTCTGGTCTCAGTAATACTGGGAAGAGAATTCAGTGTTATTCTTCATTCTGTATGGCAAACATTAAATCCATTCCTCTTATTCATCAATCCAAGTTGTTCTGTTTAATTTAGAACAACCATTACCTGTACTTTGAGGAAAAACACCTCTAAAGCTATTGAGAATTCATCTTATTCACCACTTGAATTGTGATATTAAATGCTCAGAATTCTGCACCAGATAGAATCAGATAACAATACATATATAATATTTCATGGTATTATTGTGAAAAGCATATTTCATCAAGATAAGAAACAACAATTTCAAATTTCAGCAGTATTAATTTTCTTCATGGGAAGCTGTGTTTAGCATTCCTTGTTTCTACCTTTAGAGCAGCCATAAGACGTATTTTAACCAGTCATTTATTTATTAACTTTACAGTAGTCTCAGTTTTAATTCATTTTAAACTCCTCCCCCTGCCTGTTTGAATTTTAACTAGTTGCCTTGATGTCTGAATTTAGTAGGAAGGCAGGATAAAAGGTTAACACCAACTCCGAATGTCTAGGAATGAAAGAATAGTTTGAACCTATGCACAATTGCAATAAGAAACTTTTATTAACAATGAAAAAAACAAACATGACTCTCTAATTTCTGTCAGATAAGTATAGTACTGCATTATGTGCCTTGTACTTACTATGAAAAGCAAATGAACTTTGAAAAACTCCTGCCCCTGTAGTATTTTCTACATGGTAGGAGCTTTTTAGTAATAGGTAATGAGGGCTCTGTTGTGAAAGTTGCAGCATTTTAAAGTTCACTCTAAAGTCAGCAGACTTAACAATTTTTTAACATAACTGCTGGAATATTTTCCCCTCTTGTGGCCAGCAGCTCATCTATTACCATAGTTAAAAACCTATTAACAAGACAAAACATCCAGGTTTTTTTTGTTTCCAGCTTTCCTGGAGTGAGGCATGTAATCAGAATATGTTATGAAAAACCAAAATGGAAATTAATAAAGGAAATATTTGTAACATGAGTTGTTATGCATATGACTTAAGGATATTTCCTGACTGAACACAATAATTGTTACAGAGTTTATATTATTTGAAGACCTTGAGTTGATTCATTATTGAACAATTGGTATCTGCGCTCCGTAATATTAAAAACTAAACATATAGAGAGACTGGAATATGTCAAGTTGCTTATTTAAAGAATGTACTCATTGTCTTTAATCAGGGTAGAAGGGACTAAGGAAGAAATAGTATGGCTGTTTGGGGGAAATTCTTGACATCTTTCCTCAAAATCACTGAGATTTCAGATTTTTTTTCCAAAGGCACTTAAACCTTGGACTATATTATAAAGGGAGGGAAGAGAGAAAGCATTTTGAAAATACATGGAACATACAGTAAAAATATAATTCCAAAATTCAAATTTAAGAGGATTCTACATATTAAGAAAGGCCTTTTTCAATATCACAACTTTATTAAGAAGAAAAAAAGCTAGAGGGCTATGAAATAGACTAAAATGTGTTATTAAAGATCTTAGAAAAATTAAGAAGAGATATTAAACATTTTCCATTTAGAATTGTATTCCATTTCCTGTGTTTTTCCCCCATAAGTTTATTAGTTATTCAGCAGCATGAAAACTCATATATAGCAGATTATTAGTGTTCTTTTGTTAACAAAATAAGAACTAAATAACAGAGTCAGCTTTCTCACTAGCATGGAAAATATCATGTGATATACCATTAATTGTGAAACCATACAGCTCACTAAACTGAAATTCTTAATTTACCACATCCTTTCCCCTTCTCTTCCCTCAAAGCCAGTTCTTCTGACATGGAAAAAAAATGTAATCAAACATTCATATAATTCAGAAACTGTAGTGCAGTCGACAAGGCAACCTCTTCACCCTTCTCATTTCCACAACACAAATGTTTGATAGAGCATATAATTTGCAAATATCAAGGCTTGTTCAGAGAACTTTAATTGTACTTTATTGTTCTATTGATATAACTGGAACCAGTTAAGGATAAACAATTTCCTACCAATACAAATAACTAATCCTTGAAAATACAAATTTGAAATTATACAGGAACGCTGCATAAGTGGCTGGTGATTTGAGAAGAGCAGGAATTACGTATTCCGACCCATTTTCAAGTTCTACTCATCCATTCCAGCAATATATATTATTCTTTTAAAATGCTTATTAGGCTACAATATGTCTGCCTATAAATCGTGTACAATGCACACAAGTCCAGTTAATTTTGTAAAGACAAAGAATTTGCTATATTAGTTTCCAAAATATTAGGCTCTTAATTTAGAAACTAATGTAATTGTGAAACTACTGGTCATAAGACTATAAGTAAATTCTTCAGACCAGACTTATGTATCAATGTGATTTTACAGAACTGAAAGCAGAAGATTGAACTAGTATATTAAAATTCTTGTCCTAATGAAAAAACTGATACAACAAAATCAGATTTTGACAGTCTCCAACAATGCACAAATAGTTATGCAAACAGCTTAGGAGATCTCTGTCTTTTAAGTTAGCAATATAATTGAACCAAAAAGGCCCTTTTAAATTTAAGACATAGGCTTTTGTTCTCTAATGGTTGCAAGCTATTTCTGTTTTTAAGAAGGAAGAAGTCTTACAAGTCAATTTCATTAATTATGATGTTATTCACTGAGGCATAAATACTAGTTAAGCATATATACCATAGGAAAGGTACGTAGCATTAGGTAAACTACAACATAAGCCTTAGAAGCTAAAGAAACTTGAATGACAAACAAAAAAACATCTCCATTTATAATCAAACGTAACTTTTCCAAATTCATAGGAAATTCAGCACCTGACACCAATGCTTGAGCATTCCAGCATACTGTCATCTAAAATCTAGGAGATATATATATATATATATATATAAGACAGTGATATTCATAAGGGAGAGAACTTACCTTAGAAATAGTTCTCTACTACGACTTATCTCCTAGAATTCGAGAACTATGTTTTTTTTCTAAGATTTTTTGGCTGACATTTGTTAAATCAAATGCTTTAAAAAAAAACTATCTGTGTATTTTATTAGTTATCAACCTGGTGGCCTTTTTTAAACTCTATCATTCTGAGTGTTGTATATTTGTTAAATGAGATTTTTTTCCTGACTATCAGAATTACTTAATGGATGTTGCTTGCATCTGGATATCTTCCTGTATTTTCTTCATTGTATCAGCAATCAAGTTGCAAGCTTTCTTGTGCTTTTGCCAGTGCTGCACTTGACACTCTCTAAAGATGAGTAAAAGATTAAAAAATAGCAATTATGAGGATAACTATAGTAACAACATTCCAAATTTTTCCTTACGACTGTTAATATCTGCATGGAGGTCAAAGCATATACTTCATTTATTCATAAAAACGATTTCATAAATGGTATAGCTGGGATTTGGATCTTAAGCCTATATAGAAGATATATCTATAACTAAATAGGATATATCACACACACGCATGATAAAATATGAATTATTCCTTTGTTATAAGAAGTAAATGGTTCAAACACAAAATATTACAACTATGATTGTCAATGATTTCAGTCTTCTGCCCCTCAAGTATATTATCTTACCATGTTGTTGAAAAAGGTGATCGAGACAATATTATGAAGTATATAGTATATAGAAGTGTTTTAAACTCTTGAAAGGAAGCATTTAAATAATAAAATATTCTGAAAAATAGAGCTATGCACGTATTCAAATGAACACTTTGCAAACGTATTAGAAGAAGGTTATTTTGTTGGCACCAAGTACCAAAATAGTATTAAAGCTCATTCTCCTGAGAGGCAGATATAGCTGCTCCTCCATTGTTTGCCCATGTGTGCATGGACAATTGGAATTGCATTGGAATTGCCATTTAAGTAAAGTAGTTGTGTATGGCAATAAGCACAAACATTTTGAAGCAGCTGCATGAACCTTTCCAATTTTTTTGAGGAAGGGTGCTCATTCAAATGCTTTGCACAATCTTATTCTGAACTGGAGACAACTTCAAAGAAAAATCGATTCCAACTGAAATTAATGAGAAATAATTTGCTAAAGCAGAACTTTATTTGACATCTACGTTTTTGTGAAATTTAACCAAACACTATCAAAACAAAACAGCTTGCTTACTATTGCAAGCTAATACCCACAAGACTATCTATTCATCTAGATAAGTGATGAAGGAGCAGATTGCAATATTGCTAGTTGCTCCAATTCCTTTAAAGCAGACATAAATGGAAGTAAAAAATATATATACTTGAATATACATGATCACTTCTGAGGAACATTCAAGACCCTCATATGTCATTGTTCAGTTAATGTCCTACTGTCAGATGATAACCAAAGAGAGAAAATAAATTTGGTAATATAGAAAAATAAATCTCAATCATGTTACCTATAGAGGCAGCATTGAAACTGGTACGCTTTTCTCTATTGGAAGCTCAATAGTAACATGAGTAAACACTTAAACTCTGTCTTATAGAACCAGAAAGGACAACCCAATTCTAGATAATCTCTACTCTTAGGAGAGTCCACGTTCTACTGAAGAGAAAATGTTCCAAATATCCTAATTATTAGTGATAATATTAATTATGAAACATACTATGGAGAAAGTGTAAGTCTGAGTTCTACTTTTTTCACAAACAAAGCCAATATAATAAAATATGGTTTTATTTTAACTGGGTACATAAGAATTAGATGCAATTTATTAAAATGTTAATGCATGAAAACATTTCTACGCATATACATACATACATGCATGTTTGTTTATACAACTGAAGTTATGTGGTATTTACAGTAAATGAACCATGAAAGTAAGAGTCTGTTAAATGGAAAATAACATTTCAATCTTATAGTGTTTATAATATTTTTAATATTGGTATTATTTTTGTTTCTACATATCTATGTCACCATAAGATTAGTGGAGGATTTAGGATAACAGGAAAACTAGTTGTATTAAACTTACCGTTTGCAATACCATTCGTTCCTACAACGGGAACAGCGTTTTGAGGCTTCAGAGCCACACATTGCACACCTGGGTTTATTTGGAATTAGGGCTTCCATTACATCCAGGTTATATGTCTTTGCCCATCTGATTTAAGAAAGAAAGTAGCGTTCATAAAACCCAACAACTGCAACAATTATCCAGTGGTAACTACAATAGAAATGGAACTCTCACATTAATTTGATATTTAGTAAAACATTATTAAAATAAATTGATACCAATGAAATTGACTTCAGTGCCCTTTGAAGACAAAGATTTTTTAATACGACATTAAGCAAATAATTTTTAAACTTGATTGATTTAGGAAAATGATTTTTTTTATTTTTCAAATTGTGGACTATCAGGTTTGTTCTATGTATCTTGATAATTGTAACGATTACAATCTTTGACAGAGGAAGAAGCTGAATATGAATGAGTCTTACCTATAAGCCTCGTTTTTCAGCTCCTCTTCTGAAGGACTAAACATATTATTTACTTGGTGCTTGGCAATTGCTTGCCATTTTTCAGAGTTTTTTCTGACTACTTGATCCCAGATTTCAGGAACCTATTAGGACAATAAAAAAAAACAGAAGGCTTATTTCTTTCAAATACTATATTGAAAATATTTTGAAATTCTTATGTTCATCACAGCACTAAGGTAAGAGATGATAAACATTAAGTTGAAGAAAAAGTATAATACTATACTAGAGATTTTATCTTGGGGAAAATTTATCCTAAAGAAAACAAAGAAGGGACAAAACTAGATTAAATAGGAATCCCATTTTTATAGACTAGTATTAATATATGGGGAACCTCTTTTTAAAATCCCATTTGTAAAAAAAAAAAGAAACTGCAGTGTAGTTTGAATTAAAGTCCTATCATTCATGTTTAATAAGGTCTACAATTAGAAACCTAGCCTGTTTGAGGAATAACTAATATTTGCTTCATTAAATCTAACCAAAAGGAACTTAACAAGAAAAAGTTTCACCATATACTTTCAATAAAGATAAAAAAAACCATACATTTTATATCATGAAACTAGGAAAATCATGAGAACTAAAAGTTTTCCTCTGGTTTCATAGATTTTATTGTAGTGGCTGCAATGTTAATGAAAATAACATTGGTATACATCTCTTATTGATGAGATAATAAAATACATATTTGCAAGTAAAATGATTACTATATCTATATCTTTTCCATTGCAATCCCAAATAAGTAATGCAGTATTTTAGTATGTCGTAGAGGTATTCAGAATAAAGATATACATAGATGGTATTCTCTGGGATTGTGGAACATAAGAATAGGACAAAAATAGTAGGGATGCACATTACCTGCTCCAGTATGAGGTCCTTCTTGGGTGGAGTAGGATCTGTTACAGCCAGATGGCTCAGGAATTTCTGCATCTCCAAAAGATTGGGAAATTGGTCAACAAGAACATCCGTCAGGAAGGCACGAAGCTAAACAGAGACAAGATAAAACTAAAATATATTGTAAAGCATTTTAAATGAGACATGCATATTTTATATTGCAAAATTGGATTGTAAAAATATTATGGGAATTAAGCAATCTCCCCTGTTCCAGACTCATTTCCCTGCCTCAAATCTCCATTTCATTTTTTTCTGTTTTTAGCAAAAAACCCTATAAAGAGTTTTCAATCACTAATAAATGTATCTCTTGTCTTCTCCCTAATAAAAAAGACCATTTTGCCATTTTTGCAAATTATGTCACTTCGATAAATTATATGTGTATATTAATCATACAAGAACTAGACTAACAATATTGATATCAACAATGGGGTCTCTAAGAAATCATGCACTCCAAAATGCATTTTTCCACCATTCTGACAATGTCCAGCCCACCTCTTTTATTTATTACATTTTAAATCTCATTTACTTTTTTGTACAATTTAAAGACAGCTTGGTTCTACAAAACTTTGGGCAGCTAACAGTTTTAAAAGCAAGAAAGCAATATTAATAAGAACATAGATAATAGGTGACTGACAGAATGAGATAGACATTTCAAAAACAGATATTTGTTAAGACTTCAATAAAAATAAACTTATTTTTAAAGCAACTAATAAAATAGAACTGTCATTTTGTGCTTTAAGAGCAGAAATGAAATTAAAACTATATTATATTTTAAAAATCTTATATTCCATTTTATACTTATTTTCTATTTCTGTAGCATACTAAAACAAAATTATGGTACCTAGGGACTTCAAGTTAAAAAGCTTTTGACATTCTATTTCACAGTTAAAATTTGTTAATAATTATCTAAGAATGAATTACAATTTGACCTATTTATTAAGACTTTCATCCCTATATTTATTCTAATTTATTTATGTTGTTCATTATAGGTATGTATATCTGGGTGTGTGTGTATCTTTCCCCATCCAATAGTGACAAGGGTTATCATCTGCTGCAATATTAAACAATCCCCTTCCTGTTCCCTGCTATATTGTTTAAAAATAGAATACAATATTAGGTCTAAACGTTTAATGCTAAGGAAAACATGAAGTACAGATAAAAGGTCTGCCAGCTTTGCAATCCTGTACCTTGAGGAGCTGGCCTTTGTTAAAGTTATTGAATTCGTACTTGCGCTGGCATTCTGGGCTAAGGAGTAGGTTATAAAGAGAGAGCCACACTTGCCCATCCAATTTAGTCATCTTCATGCGGTCTTCAGGGGCAACTTCATACCATGAACCGTTCTCAAATTTCTTCAACTTTCCTTTGGAAAAATATAAGAGAAAATACTTTTGGTATTGAATATTGTTTTATACATACAAAACATTGGTTTGTAATAGCATTGTTTAGTAACTGTTCAAACTTATGAGAATAATGAACAAATACTTTTATGACTGAACTTCAAATTTACAACAGTTATAGCATATCCATGATCAAGTGATCGGATTCGTATGCAGCATAAATTTATGAAGGTCATAATATCCCACATTCACATTATGGCAATTTGGGCACTTTGCAACCAATGTACATTTATGACAATCACATCATCTATGTTCATGTGACTGTCATTTGCAACTTTCATAGCCAGCTTCCTACAAGCAAAATCAATGGAAAAACCAGCAGTAAGCTGCCAATTGCGGTCACA